GTTCTGGATGGCCAGTTGAAGCCAATGAAAACAAAATAAAGGTACTGATTGAAGCAAACTGCCGAATAACAACACGTGAAATCACTAAGAGATTAAATTTGTCAAATTGAACTGTTTATGATTACTTGAAACAAATTGGTTTCGTTTCAAAGCTTGATATATGGGTTCCACATGTTCTTAAAGAGAGATGCTCTCTTTGGTCGGATTTTAAGGAATTTTTTTTTTCTTGAGCTTTTATCAGACAATTTAACAATTGATTCAAAAGTGTACTGCCATCGAGTAAACAAATTGAGTAATATCATCAAACAGAAAAGGAGGCCAGAATTGATCAACAAAACAGGTGTAGTGTTTTACCACAATAATGTCAAATTTCATACAAGTTTGGTAACTCATCAGAAACAGTTATAACTTAGATGGAACATGCTATCACACCAACCATATTCGCCAGATCAAGCACACTCAGATTATTACTTGTTTTCCGGTCTATACAATTTTTTTTAACTGTAAGACACTTATTTGAAATGACAATGTCAAAAATCATTTGGATCGGTTTTTTGTAAGCAATGATCAAAACTTTTATGAATGTGAAATCATGCTACTACCAGAAATGATGACAACAGGTATTTGACCAAAATGGTCGCTATATAATTCAATAAAATATTTATTTATTATAAAAATATTGTTTTTTTCCCCACGGAAANATTATTATTATTATTATAAGATTTTTCTATTTAAAGATTTTATATCATCAGAAATCAGTATTAATATGGTTTCTAGAGAATCTGTTATCAAAAGTAATATTTCAATAAATTTTTTTGTAGATGTATTAATCCAGTATTAACGATAGCAGCAATGCTTACTGGTAAAAATCCATTTAATGTTAATTTAGAAGACAATGCAGCAATAAGAGAGGTAAACATTTAATAAATTAGTATATAATTGTAACAAAGATTTTACTTTGTTACAATTATAATACTCAATTGTAACAAGATTTTAATAAAGTAAATAAATAAAAAGTAAAATCTTGTTACAATTGTATAGATAAAATAAATTGTTATAATATTATATAAATGAAATAATTTTAAAGGAAGTGTGGACTATTTACAGATCATTAAACACTAGTTCATTGAAACTTTCAACATCTTTAATTGTAAAATGAATGAAGTTCTATTTAGTTCACATCCTGTTTCATAATTGGTATAATTTTTTTTTAATATATCATTTCATACAGTCATATAATAACAACATTTTGTTAGCCATTTCTTTGTGGTATTATATAATTAAGGCTGAATTATCATAATGTAATTTTGTTTATGGAAATAGAATGGCTTATTTGTTTTACCAGGAACCAGTTTAGATTGTAAAGCAGGAAAGAATCTATTGTACTTTCTTAATTATTGGGTTGTTCGGAAAGTAATTTCATTCTTTTTACCACTAGACAGATTAGTTGTATTTTTCCCGCCATTTTCATTCTAAACCATATTATCATTATATATTTTGACAGCTAGCATTTTAAGGCTTATTTGTAAAAAATTTTGTTTGATTTTGTGCAATTGTTTATTTTTTGTGTCCCATCAAATATGGAAGATTGAAAACAGCATTTTTGGCATATTTTGCTCTTTTATTACCAAAAAGGTAAGAATGCTGTTCAAGTGAGAAAAAATTTGTGTGATGTGTATGGAGATGATGTGTTGAGAGAAAGACAGTGCCAAAACTGATTTACAAAATTTTGTCTGGGCAATTTCAATATTGAAGATGTATCATATTCTGGATGGCCAGTTGAAGCCAATGAAAACAAAATAAAGGTACTGATTGAAGCAAACTGCCGAATAANGTGCAACTTGGTAAGATCTCTTTTGCCTCTAGAAAGATGGACCTCTTCATATCTGAAAATGCTAAAATGATATCAAGTTATTTTAATTTTATAAAACTTATTAATAAATTAAAAATATGATTAAAAATTGCAGCCTGGCATCATTACAGATTGGTAAGGATGGAAAAGAAAATGATGTCTGTATGATCTGCCAGTACCAATTCTAAATTTGTAATTTTAATTTGATATTTTTCTGTTCTTTTAAAGGATGTTTTTTAAATTTCACGGCCAAGCAGCCTAAAAAGGAAGGTCAGGTCATCAAATGTTTGTATTCTGGAACACTAGAAGTGAATAAATGTTGGTTACCAGTTTTGGACAGACTGTCTTCAAATTAATTTTAATAAATAATTGCTTGTTATTATTTATGATGCATATACAGAAATACATTTTCTTGATTAATATTATTTGAATAAATCAGTCATGTTCCTTTATTTCAAAAATTAACCTTAGTTTCATCACAGATATTACAATAAATATTAAGTGTTCAGTATTACACATCTTTTTCACGGTCATATTCAATTAAACTGAAGTAGTTCAATGTTGTCTGAAAAATTTCTGTTAAAATTTTATCTTTCTAAAAATAAATTTCTTGTGAACCAATGTTAAATCTTTGGAATTTTAATAATTATTATGTTGAGTTTAGTGAGTTATACTTGATTGACACTGGTTGCTGTGTACTATACTGGACCAGAGTCAAGGCACAGTAACCAAAATAAGACAAAAACTAAATAAGTGTGTCAGTGTGTATGTCTATATTCAGGAATTTCCTAACAATATGACATGTATTCAATATAGTGGCCTTCTGTAGTGTGATGTATGTGTTTCTATTCAATTGTAATGTTCCCAGGCTTTTGTGTAGTGTGTGTGGTATCACACCTGTACAGGAGAGAACGACAGGTACAATAAGCATGCTTTCCATCCTCCACAGATGCCTTATTTCCTGGGCAAGTTCTGAGTACTTGCTAATTTTTTCAGTGAATGTATTTTGTATATTGTGAGTGTTTGGAATGGATATGTCCGTAATGTATGTGATTTTATTGTGTTTGTCAATGAGTGTGATGTCTGGTCTGTTGTGGTAAATTGTTTTATCTGTGATTATG